TGGAACGGAAATAACAAAAGAACAAGAATAGAAATTAATAGAAAAAAAAAAAGAACAAAAAAAAAAAAAAAAAAAAAAAGGAAAAAAAAAGAAAAAAAAAGAAAATTTATTGTAATGAAGCTACTGTGATGTTACTGTTGAATATAAAAAAAATTATATATATATACATATATATATACATGAAAGATGCTGTATTTAAAAATTGTACGAGGAGTGTTTTCTTATTTACACCTTCTTGCTGAACAACGATTGTGTATTAATTGTATTGTGGAAGTGGAAATATGAGAAAAATTGAAATGAAAATATTTATAAAAAAGAACAAATTGGAAGATTCTTTCCGTTTCTATTCATTCTTTTTCGTTTATCTTTTCTTTCTCCTCCAGCTCGTTCTGTTGGCTAATGATATCAGTTCAACGCTATCAAAAATACACATTTTCAGAGAAAAATACTTTTTATTTCGCAGTTCATAGGTAACTCTTCATAGGTTTTGGTAGAACAATCTTGAATCGGATTCAGACGGATGATTTATGTTCGAATGTTTTTTTGAAGTTGTTCAAACACAGCCATTGATAATACAATGCCGAATGAAAGCTCATACTTTGTCGAATACGACGAGATTACGAGTGAATCCGATTACTCTAACGTATCTCCTTTTTCCTTCTATACTTTGTTCTTTTTTTTTTTTTTCCTTTTCTTCAATTTATTTTTCCTTTCATTTTTTTATTTTTTATTTTTTATTTTTATTTTCTAAACGATTATTTCTCGATTATCATCCGTCTATGATACGTGCACACGCAAATTGGAATATCTAATACGTGTTTTAAGGTGTGTGCACAATTGTGCGAATACTTGCGTGCATACAACTTCTGCGTTGTACTAATCAGTTTTGCTTATCTCAAAATTTCAAAAAGGACATATACGAATTTTTATACGCAAGCTTCACCGCTTGAAGCTTCGATATACTATTATATTACGTATTTTAAAACTAGATCGCATTTTTTTATTTTGCAGAGAATGAGGCGCACGTTATAAAATCAGATTTATTTACAATTCTACAAGACCGATTTATATATTTCCTGTACAAATCGTTTAATCGCAAGAACGTATGCGAACTTTTAAAAAAGTCTAGTCACCATATTAAAACATTGCTCCTGACTCTAGACGCAAGCCAGTATTATATATTTAACAGAAATACTTCTTTCTTATCACGTCAAATATCGCTAACTGTGATTCATCGATGCGCTGTGTAACCGAGGTACATAGTGCTTTCGTGAAAATGTTTATCACTTTTTTTTTTTTTTTCATTTTGTCATTTTCGACCATTGGCATCGCGTGCAAAGCCTTATACAGTCTTATTTAAAAAAACGCAGACCGAATGGTCGATATATTATGTACAGTTTACGTACAATTAGTCACTCTTCCAGGAATCCTGAAAACAACTTTAAGACAAATTAGCATAGTCTTATTGTCAATTTTGAATGCCACTTCACCATTTTGCCCTAACACTCCAGTCTTTTGGTGTCCAATGAAGACACTTAGGATCTATTCTGATTTGCCTCTTTTCCATTGCGGCTGTGTGTTGCTCGATAATCTCCCTGTGAATAAACATGTTTTGTCAGTGAAGTAGTGGAAGAAATCCTCGGTATGGAAAGAAGCTAAATGTCTGCACGACTCGTTTCCCTTAATGACGCATAGACTAGCCAATTACCTATTCAATGTCACAATATATTGTCCTTTGTAGTAATTAATAAGATTCAAATTTTGAAGCGTCGATATCACGTCTTCTTTCTTAATCGACGTCAGCTCGCATATCTCACTTATCGTGATTTGAGGTTTTTCATTTTCAACTAATGGCTTTACGTTCAACAGAATATCCAATATAGTATGAGCCCAATAACTTCTATAAGATAATAATCCCAAATCCGACAATGGTTTTTCAGGTGAACCTGTTTTACCTTCGAATTTGGACAATTCGTATGAAAATTCTATTAATAATTTTCCGTAACCCCTTCTTTGATACGGTGGCAGTGTAAGAATACAGGCTACATTGTGATCTTCGGACGATTCTTTCTCCTTCGAGAAGTAACCAACTATATGGTACCCTCTACTATCAAAATTTGTCATTATATAAAATAAGAATGGATCCGTGTCATAATATAGCGTTTTATGATCCAAAAATAATTTTGCTAGTAGACATAGATTTTGTGCGTAATTTTTGTTTTTTCGACCGTCAATTTCGAAAAAAGATATTGACCCTTTTCTATATATTTCATTGCCAGGTGGATGTCTTAAATTACACTTTGCTAAATGTCGTTCTAAACATTTTCGACTTTTTCTATATTTCAAACAGAATTCACAAATGTATATACATGGTAAATGTACCATCTCTTGCGGATATGGACTGAAATACCAAGGTCTTATTCTATGACGACCCAATTCTATCAGTTCAACATTTTTCATTCTAGTAACTATATCATCATGATGATGCGCCACCAATGAACCAGTTGGCCTTGGACCAGGCGTTTGCGGTGGACCATCCTGAGAATCATCATTTTCTATAAATGTGGCCTTTCTCTTTCTAGACATTTTCTTTTGTAATGCAGCTTGCAAAACTGCGGAACCATTGACTGGTTCGTTACAAAGGCTACTAGGGCTAGGCGGTCTACTGGGTACTTGTTTTTTTGGCGTTGCTGCACCAGTTCCTGGTGTGGTTCCATCTCGACGAGGGTACTGGACTTTTCGAGTGTCCAAACAATCTTCCGTAACCCATTCATCTAATCGTTTATTGACTAAAATATTGTACATTTAGTTAAACGGTTGTTTATGTACATATATGTAACACCTCTCTTCTTAATTCGCGTTATACTTACAATCTACATAGTGAACATAATAACACTTGACACCATGTACTTCTTTAACACTGATGATTTCAGCAAGAGCTGTGGATGACAAAAGGAAATTTTTGATAAACCTTTATTATTACACCTAAATAAGTGGAATCATAATAGACTCCCAAGAAACAATAGAAGACAGCATGTCATACAAACTATTATCATCCAAGATACCTAAACATAACCTAAAAGTTGAACTAAACAAAATGTATGGATAATGAATATCAATACTTCATATAAATACATTTCTGACTTATAGAATATGATTGTAACGATATTAATGAATAAAAATATTAGTGTGTCTATGAAATATGCGATTCAATAACACACTTATTAAATGGTTTTGTCATACAAAAACATATACGTGATTTCGAGAAAAAAATCACAAATTCCTTAAATATGGATTAATTGATTAGAAATGAATTTTTTACTTACGCCAATCATCCGTTCCATGCATTCTGACTGGTAAACGGCAGCCTTCCACCAGCGAATTCTGAAAGTAAGGTTAGAATTTTATAAGACATACATATTCGCAATCACCGACTTCCCAACAAAAAATTATTAATATGATCATGATCAATACATCGTAATACTTACCACTGAGTCGCATATTGTTTCGTGCTCGTCGTGTTCTTCGATCATTTCAATCACAAATGAAGAAACTTTCTACCGAACACGATTTTGTTTTGAAGCGTTCACGGCACTGACGCGAGCGCCGCACCGCTCGCTTCGCATATAAAAAGAACTATTCGAACATATTCCCGCACTATCGAAATATTGAATCGAAAAGTTTACATTGAATATCGAAATTTCGATTACCGGGAAATTCAACTTTAAAAAACGGAGCGCTAAAACATCCACCGTTCTTATACTATCTTCCATTATTTTACAATACTAAAGAGAATATTATCTAATTTTCTTTTATTATATTTCAAACACTTGTTATACATTTTTATATAGATATTATTTATATAAAACGTTAAATTATCTTAAATAAAAACAAAATCTTCTTAAATCTTTTTAACTTGGAGATACAAAATTTAGTATAAAAATCAAAAATTGAATATGATTTTTATACTAAATTTTGACGATTAAAGAAAATAAAAAGTGTAAATAGAGATTCGTACTCGTATATGACATCAAATAAAATTCCCCTTTAAGAATACGATGGGTTGTCGAGATACACGAGATAATTAAGTAAGAATAATTCAAAGGAAGGTGAGTAGCAGGGTTACTAGCGATACATCATGAAAGATGCTCGCACTTGCACGCAATTAATTCTGAAATACATATCATTTCGAAAGAGGTGAATTTAGCATAACGCCGTTTCCCGCGTGTATTTCGCACCTTCTCCCCGCCTTCGTCTTCCTTCTTTGTCGTTGCTTTTAAGGTTTGTAACGCAAAGCTATTTTAGTCACTCGAGACAATTTGAGGTGACATCTTATTCTACTTCGTCCCGTTGTAAAAGAGTAATATCTATACCGTAGACACCGTAAGTTCCTTCTCTCGTCTCTGTCTATCCCTCTG